ACTTGCTAATAAATTTATAGAAAAGACTATATAAGGTCGAGTATTATTAGCAAGATATATCAATATACTAGTGGCGGTAAGATATGATGCTTCGGGATCAAGTAGTTCTTTGTTATTTTCTTGAGATAAAAAATGGTCTTTTTGGATATCAAGTGAATAACTACCATTGGGCTAGTCGGTGAATGATCTTTATATAGAATAATTGTAGAACTTTTTCTATATAAATTTACTAATGAATAAAAATATAATTCTCTAAGTGCTCGAATTGCGAGTCGAGATAAAATTTTGTTGCCTAAGGTATTCATATCAAATTCTCCTTTTAGCTAACTTATACCATTTGGAATCTCTTCAAGAGTTTCAATAATATTTAAATCATCATCATATATAGCAACTATCACAAACCCCTTTTCAAAATTTCTTTATAAAAATTTATGAATAAATATGGTTATTTTTTTTAGCTTTCTTTCAATAAATATTTATTGAAATAATTATAACACATGCACATAGGTTAGTAATAAAGAATAGATATTGAAAAATAAAAAAAATAAATATAAAAAGTATAGCATAAATTGAATTTATAAAAACAAAAATAATAAAACTAATACTAAAACAATTTTGATAGAGATCTATATAATTCAATTGAATTCATTTCTCCACAATATGTATTACATGCTTTAGGCATCTTAAGTCCTTTTAGGACTTTCATATAGATATCATTTCAAATGAGCAAGTAAAATGTGATAACATTTATTAAATGCATGCATATGAATTTTTTTCATATATTTTGCCAGGCTAATGAGATAACAAAATATAATTGCATCCATTATAGGAGAATATGTCTCCTTATAGCCAATGTCGATTCTTTGTAAAAATTCTTGTCTTACAAGTCTTGCTTTGTATCTTACAATCTCATCTTTCTTATTTTGGTTTCGTATAAATATACATTTATATCCCACTAGCTTAAATCTTCGGATGTTTTAATTATGGGTTCAAAAACTACTCATTTTTAAGAGTACATAATTCTACCTGGATTGCTCTTTTCATTTAGGGCAATCATCTTTATGTTGACATTCTTCAATAAATTTAGGCTCAAGATCCTTATTTTCATTTAAGATATCAATTGAAACATTATATGCAAAAATTTTATCAATAAATGTTTCTTTTCGATCCTATTTTCTCTTTCTATTGACATAATTTATCAAAATCTCTTGATTTTTCTTAAGCACTTAGACTTCTTCCAAAAGCCTATTATCGAAATATCTTAGATCATTTTATGAATATTTTCATCATTTATTTTAATTATTTTCTCTTTTTTTTAAGGATTTTTTTTAGAACCGATTGGTCTTCTATGCTTCAAGCGTGTTTTAGATTCGTTTGCTATAACACTAATAGATGGTCCTTCTAGGACATAAATTCTAATAGGAGCATTCTCAACGAGGATATGCATTTTTGTTACTCATTTAAGATCCGAGAATGCATCCGATAGGTGGTTTGTAATACTTTATAAATAAATTATCTTTTAAACTTCTAGTTCACATTATTTTGTATAAGGATCAAGATGATATAAGATAGAGTATTCCATATAATTTTTTTCAACATTTTTAAATACTTATTTTACTTATTCTCTCCCCTAATGTTGAAAAAATTATTTCATCAAAATGATAGTCGATAAATCGAGCTCGTAAAATATTTCTTATTCATGGTTTAAGATATTGAATTATCGAAGAGAATTCAAATTCAACATATATCCCCAATCTCATTTAGGTACCCATTTTACTTCATTATAGAGAGCATTACGGATATATACTCGCATTGTCATAAGTTCTTAAATAAGAAATATTTAGCTCATGACCATAAATCAATTAAAGGAGGGAGAATTTATGATAACTTATGGGTCTAATACGAATAAGTGTTATTAAATATAAGATTATATATCCCCAAACATAAATAGGGAGTTTCATTTTTATAAATAATGGTTTAGCTATCGATTGAAACTTTTTGATAAATAATTATGCTAAACCTTTCTTAGTATAAACATAGGCAATAAGTCTGTTCAATCTTTATTCTAATAGCCAATCAATAATAATTTAATGCTTGAAAAATAAATTCATTAGCATTATCAAGGTGACTTGTTTTAATGGCATAAACTGAAAATTATGCTCGAAATCAAATTATTTGCTAGCAATCTCAAAAACGTCGGGTTTTGAGTAAATAATAAGCATATATGTGACCATCTTATGAATGCGTTGATTAAAATCATAAAATATCTAAATGATCCACATGGTGGATGAATTGATCCATATATATATGATCACCTTGAATCCATTCTAAAAATACCGAAGATTTAATCTCAATTTTACTTAGTGATCGGTTAATAATCAATTTGTCTTGAGAACATGTAGAACATGAAAATTCATTAAATTGAAGAATCTTCTAACTCTTTAATAAATGTCTATATGAATTTTTAATAATTTTTCGTATCATAAAAGATCTAACATAACACAACTGGTCATGTCACATAATAAAAGTATTTGAATTACTAAACTTCGGTTTACTATAGCATTTGTTTCAATCATTCCAATATTTGTAATAAAGACTAGAAGAGAAAGCGGATAAATTTTTCAATACATATTTTCTACTTATTATAATGATTATAATATATAAGTATTTATATTTTTTATCTTGATATGATATCAATTTAGATGAATATCTTTGAAACTCAACAAATTTCTATGAGACTTTGAAGAGAATAGTACATCATTTATAATGAAATTTATCCTTTTAGATAATAACATATTTGCTCTTCTAGAGCCTTTAAATTATTTCACTGCAAGTACTAATGTATTCGTTCTTCTAGAGTCTTTAAAAATTGTCTCTCAAGTAATAATATATTCACTCTTCTAGAGCCTAAAAAATTTATCTCTTCAAGCAATAATATATTCACTTTTTTAAAGCCTTCAAAGTTTTTCTCTTCAAATAATAATATAGTGGCTCTTCTAGAGCTTTCTATTAGATTAATATTATCATATACAATATTAGCATATAATAAATAAATAATTAAATAAATAAATAATAAATATATTCTTCATAAACATAAATAAATAAACAAATAGTAAAATAAATTTATATTTATTTCTATGCAATAGAAATTATAAGAAAATATAAAAAATCTTATTTATAAATAAAAAAAGTCAACAAGTTATTAATTTTAATTATCATTGTTTTGAGATATAAAATTGGCATCTATATTTTACTCTTTCTTTTTTCAATGTGGCTTGATAAGGCTCGATGAGGTGCTTTAGTGTACGGTAAGTACACGACCAATGTTTATTCATGCCACATCTATAATATTTATTTTCGAATACCGACTTGATCCATTTTTATTCTTTCTTATTTTTTATATAGTTTATCCACTTCGATAGTGAGATATATTATCATGGTCATCATATTATAATGATAATTATTTCGACCACGTCCATGGCTATGATCACGTCTTCATTCGTGTCTAAAATTATTATAAGTTTTCGCATTCACTTCGGGGAATAGAGTAGATCTAATTGGACAAGATTTATTCTTTTTCATCAATAACCTTTCATTTTATTTAATCATGAACAAGTATGAAATCGATTTAAAATATTTCTTAAACTTTTTTCTCGATATGCTATCGTAGGAGCATATTCAAGATATGAAAAGGAGATGATATTAGCTCGGCATCCAAGTACTCATGATCAATAATTCTTGCCCAAAATATAAAGGGCCACAAAATCAAGTTTTGTGATGGTTGATATCATAAAAATTTTATATTATAAAGTATAATAATCTTAGAAAATAAAAACAAAATATAATAATAAAATTTAAATAAAAACAAACATAATAATAAAATTTGAACTTTTCAAATAATCTATATTAGATTATTACATTCTATATATTAAATCATTTAGGTTTTCAAATGTATATTCCGTATATTATTAGATTTAAAGTACATGATGAATTAGATACATACCTCTTAATGACCTAAATAATTTGGATCTTTTGATAGAGCACTTATGTAGAAGAAATCCAATGGTTGAAACAATTGATTAAGTCTTTTGGTAGATACATACCTCATGGTCTATTATCTCGATCGGTTAAAGTATCGTGTCGATAACGTCTTGTGAAAAAAATGATAACAACAATAGAATCGGAGAGAAAAATAATAGAGAAATGATTTCACTATGAAATAAAGAGAATACAAAAGATAACAACTCCAAATAATCTTTCATTACCTATAAAATACTTGTGCATAAACTAATGAATAATCAAGCCTATTTATAGGATTCAAGATTAAGAAGAGAATTTGAAAAGATTATGAACCATTAAAAGATGCATAAATAATTAAATAAATTGAATTACTATTTCAATTTTTCATATTGAATGGTGAATTAAATCATATGAATAGTGGAGAATATGAAATAGACATTCATTATTTCATAATACTTATTGATTATTTTATATTTAAAAAAAAACAATAATTACTTGTTTTAAACACTAGCAAGCACAATTATAAAATATTTTCAATCTATAGGACAACACACATCAAACAAATCGCCACATAAGCGAAGCAATGATCCAAATACAAACACCGACTTAAATCATGTGTCCCCATCTTTAGGTAGAGTGGAAGTGCCAGATGCAGCAATTCCCACCCGATTCGAATATTGATGAAGTGGTTATATAGTTTTGGGTGCCTTAACCATGTGAAGTTCTTTCACTTTATCAAAGTATATCTACAAGCTATATGGATCTGGACTTTAGGCATATTTAATGGACATGTGCCAAGTGACTTCCTTATCGGTGACGAAATTGGGTTGCAAGAGGGAATGATAGAGATACGCCACGCTGTTTAGGTGAGTGATTTGAAATAAGTCAGGATCGGATTTAAAATGTAATAATGCATGCCATAATAGGCCTGTTGATTCAAAAACTAGGTGAGGGGCCCAATCTTTTGACTCAAATTGTACCCATTCTGAGAGAAATGGAGCTTTTCCTACCAGGTTTTCGGTGCCGCCCACCTAGTTGTTTGTGACAGAAAAAACGAGCCTAGTTTCAAAGAAGCATCCATGTAAATTTGAAGAGTAAATAAAACAACGATCTTCAGGGAAAACAGGTTGCAGGCTGCAAGAATTTAATACATACCAGCTCCAAGTATTTATGCGTTTGATTTGTTTAGAGAATCTAATTTTAGGAATATCAATACCCGAACCGTTTCATTTTCCTCCAAAGTAATTTTCCTAGTTTAATCCCAAAAAAAGTGTCACCTTTTCAAGCGTTATGAAGCTGAAATTTGATTAATATTATGACGAATATTTCTTCATTATTTACAATACTATGACAAGAATACCCTTGCCTTCAAGTTAATCTACTTTCACTGTTGTTATGCATAACTTAATGTAAAATAAAAATCTAAAATAAAAAAAGGAATTAACTATATAAGGAAACAATTAATTTTGTATTTGTATCTCTTTATAATATAACTATAACAATAAGATTTTAAGCAATTTTACAATATTCATTACGCAAATTTAGTCAAAGATTGAGGAAGGAAAGAGAGAGAGAGAGATTAGGAGAAAGATTTATTGGAGAAAAAAAAATTCCTAACAGTTACTTTTAATTATAAATTACACGAAAGTTGTCAAATTTATATATATATATATATATATATATATATATATATATATATATATATATATATATATATATATATATATATATATAGAAATTTAGCCATGACAGAGATGCACAAAAGAAGAGAATGAACTTTATATATTTTATTTTTATTTAATTTAGAAATAAGATTGGATTTTATTCGGGTTCCCCTCTATTTTTGTAATATACATGCATTTGGATATTATATTTTTTAATTTTTTTATTAATTTTAAATTTTTTATTTGATTGAGGCATTTTGTTTTGCGAGATTTTTATTTTAAACTCTCTGTTATAATATCATTAATCAATGATCAATACATTATTTTTATTTTTCAAAATTTTTTATTTTATAATATCATGTGTCAATCGAATAATATTATAACAAAAAATAAAAAATAAAAAATCTCAAAAAATAAAATATACCTGTAAAAGAAAAGCCATCATTCTTGGAATGTTTATTTTGGAATCTTACAATTAATAGCACAATAACGTAAAAGAAACGCAACAATTTGCTAAAAGTTCCCTCAATTAGAAAATTTTGGCATTTTAGACAATCTTTGCTCAAGTACTCGTTTTCAATGTGAATAACATACTCGCGTCGAAAAAACGTAAGAGAAACGCAACAATTTGCTAGAAGTGAGAGTCACGTATTATTCTCTGCGGCAAATTTTAAAGCAAGGTGAGAGAGTGATGCTTGAAATTTCTGTGCTCGAGGGATATAGCAAACTGTGTAACTCGAGTGACTGCAAAATAACCATCCTCGTATCCACCCATGCGCTACGTGCTTGGCCAAAGTTGGGGAGGGGTCCTCTGCACAAATGCACATGTCCTCTTCCATGTACTCAAATACACCCACGTGTCGAAACTATAAGGACTCAGATCCTCGCCTCTCAGAGGGAAATTAAGCTAAACTAAGTTTAGTCGGTAACCTATGTAATTATTCTCCAAATTTTTAATTTGTATCATTTGGTCCCAATTGTTTCAAACCATTCTTAATCAGGTCTCTCTTTGTTAATGTTCATTAACCTTGTAGTCAAATTTTTTTAAAAAACATGTTTCTTTTTTACGTGTGCATAAATTACACACATTAGAGGGAAAATATTAACAGAAATTGATAAAAGGTCCAAATTGAGAGATGTGGGAAATATTTAGAACCTAATTGATAAGATGAGTATGCATTTGAGAATAGGTACTTAGGTGCGGGACTAAATTTAGATTTTTTCAGACATTGACCAACTCAAGTGGCTGAGTGATTAATACGAGTACTTAATGTAAACCGCTCCTTTTTTTTCGGCTAAAGGAGTAAGGGAAAATCTATGTATCGTGTATAAATTTATTGATTTTTCTATTGTTTTTTTTTGGATCCTTTAAGATATACTAGACTTAAAAACTTAGAATGATTTTTTGTTGTTCGTCGATGCACAAGACGATGACAGCTATCTCGAAAGTTTTTAATATACATAAGGATGCGGAATCAAGATCACTTATTTAAATTACTAGAACTCTTTCCACTCAAGCCAATTCTCTTGGATAATTCCTCTATTATTTTTTATCTTGCTAATCTAGCCCCTCGTAGTTTAATTTTATAATGTAATCATTATTCTTCATATTTTTCTTTCCTTCCCTTAATGTGGACATTCCATCTAAGTCAAACATTAAGTAAAATATTCAATATGTCATTTAATATGGTGTATACTCTCCATGACTAAATCAAACATTTATGTTTTTTGAAACGTCAAATATACCATTAGTTATTGTTAATAAATGTAAAATCATTAATTTGTCAAGCTAAAACAATAAATTAAAAGAAGATGAGATTTCGGCGACCACTTAAAAAAATAATTATTTTTCAAGAAAATGAGTCAAATCTTTATTGGTGACCAATTGTTTCAAAATGAAAGAAAAAAACTATATTAAAAAAATTCATCAGTTTTACGTATGATCAATTAAACACAACGCAAATAAAATAGATTTTGTTAAGTTTTCAATGATTTACCCAATTATAATGACATTTGGTGAATTTTTAACACAATTCATTTATTTGTAAAATAGGTAAAAAAAAATTTTAATTGAATAAATGCTATCTAGGGAAAATTCATTTTGAGGCAACTATTCTGTAGAATACACACATCATGATATTTTATTTTTAAACTGAATTAATTTGAAAAAGACCTAAAGTTAATGATATATCGAAAGGTAATGTTGCCCCAATTCCCAACCAAAGGGCAGTTTCGATCAAACTTAATGGCTTGACTTGGATATAGGTATATGGGAGGTCCACATTGCAGAAAATTATGAACTACAAGGGTCAGTTTAACAAATTAAAATGTAAGGGGCTGGATTGATAAAATTAAAACAATAGAGGTATTAGCTACATTGGCCACATTATTTAACCATAAATGGATGGTGTTGGTAAAATACAAACAGGGTCAACGAAAGTGCTCTCCTATCGGCAGTCACCACTCACCAGGAGGGGTGTCGTCTGGTGGTAGATAGCCTAACTCAGTAACTTGTCGTAGTACTTTATGACCATCATTCAATTTCGACTGTCCTCTCTTACTGTTTCTTAAATTTGCTTCTACAAAGTCACTCGTATTGGACCCAAGGGCAGCCCCAAATAGTAGCAAATACCGTTCTACCTGCATGTCGTTTTCGTATGTATAAACAATTTACACTTTGATCGTCAGTAATACTTTTGGAGGGGTTTGCTGCAACTGATTATTCTGTGCTTTACGAATGGTTAACACATTCCAAAGGGAAAAACGAAAAAGGAAAGGATGAGTTTAGACCCACGCCATGGCCAATGTGTTCTACAAACAGAAACAGTTGATGTTGGTTAGCCCCAATCCTCAGACACTGGATTAATAGCGTCCAGAATCGTGGCCTCGCATCATTTTAGTTAAATAAGCACCCTGGCCCATGTTTATATTATTCTCCTCCAAGGCCGTGTGTGTTAAGAAAATTTTGTAGGAATTTGGATCCAGCCCAGGCTCAATGCCCAAAAAAAAGCCTACGAAGAAGTTATGTGAAAAATGATACTCTCTCTCTCTAAATTAGGGTTAGGTTTAACTATATTCTCCATCAGGGCTGGGTGTGTTCTGATCATTTCATAAGCACCTGCATCTAGCCCAAAACTGGATATTAAGAAAAGAGTAGTGCAAATTACAGATAATTTACAGTATCGTCTGGTTTGTTTTGAATTTCGAGTTTCTTTCAAGAGATATCAGTACGAGTATACGACAAATGCAAATAGGTATGGATTTATCTAAACTTTTTGGGATTTCAGTTATAAAAGGAAAGGCTTTTAATTATATAGTTTTTATTAGAGTAGCATAAAGAACAAGATCGGAAGCTGCAGGGAAAGAGAAGTAACATGGATAGAATATCCTTCCGCTTCTGTAAGCAAGTTACTTGCATGGTTTGGCAGCCTACAAATGGTGGGTAATTGATTGGCTGTCACATTCAGATCCAAATAAAGGTATACATGCATCCTAAAAAGAAGTACATTAATTCATGTTTACATATAAAATTTATCAATTGCGTTGTAATCAGGGTTTTTGAGGTGCGTTTTTCTTATATAGATAGATAGATAGATAGATAGATAGGGTAAGCCAAACATTCATTAAAAGACACCAGGAGGGGAAAACAAACGACTTGGAAAGAAAGCAAGACAAAGCATAGTCTACAGGAAACTGAAGAAAAAAAGAGAAGCAAAATATAATAATAATTAAAAAAAAGAAGTGATTTTAAAGGATTACTGTTCGTTATAAATTCATACGAGGAGGGCAAACTTCTTAATTATAACATTTAGTTGAAGTGAAAGAACAGTACACAGCTCTCGAAAAGAATATAATGTGCATTGAACAATCTCTGAACTTACAAGTAGTGCGACTTATTTATCTTCGCTATTCAAAAAGAACTCTTTATTGTATATAATTTGAACACATTGTGTTCTATGTTTAACATTAGAAAAATCTAAAACAAGTTATTAGTGGGATGGAATTAGGCAAAATAAAACGGTATACGAGATAATAATTAATTGACCAAATATATACTAGAAGTAAGCAATTGAAATAATTAACTCAAAAATAAGGGTTTTAACCTATAACATAATTAGCGAGCACTTTGTAACGTTGAGAAGGCACATCATATTCTCTGCATTTTTTTTGGTGACTATACTCCTTAAAATGAAACCTATAAAGTTGTAAGAACTTTTGTCCTTTCTTTTAGTAATAGTAATGCTACCTTCCTGATGGTCATTAATGGCAAGGATTCACATGCATGTAATTTTTTCCTTCACGAAATAACAAAAATAGCTAAAGATTTTGAATTTATTGATTGCATGATACATTGCAATACAATGGACAATTTCTGGGAAGCTATCATCAGCTTATATACATAAATAGGTTTATGTAGTTTCTGAAGAATGCCCCATGAACCCTATATGGTGCCATCCAATGAAACAATTTTTCCCTTGCATATCTGTTGGATTGATCGACATCTTATCTTTTGTCCATTTAATATATGGAAGAAGAAAATGCAGTAAAAAATAAAATGTTAATTAATTTTGTATAAGAAAATGAAGAATGAAACTTTGAATCTACATGAAAATGGAAAATGAGTAGAAACATATTCATTTTAGAATGTGTGTGGCTAGCCATTGTATATTAATCATTAGTGGTTCACAATGGAAATAATTTGCCATCAAGCTAGGAAAAGAATTAAAAACAGAAAATGCATCAATATGTTCTCACAAATGGTTACCTCATATGATACTTCGTGTGAGATTATCCTAATTACTAGCTGAATAAAGCATGCATATTTTGAGGATGAAGTGTTAATTGGACTTGAAAAACTAGAAGGAAATAGTAGAATTTTTCACTATGAAATAGGTCAATTCTCAATAATCACCAAACATCGATTATTTGAGTTTGAACGAGAGATAGAAGCTGTAGAACATGACGAAGCATTCTAATTTTTTTGAAAATAGCCACACCGAACCATTAAGACAATGAACGTACCTTCTAATTAAGGAGAACTTTGATTCGTTGGTTCATCTTTCCTGGATGTGCAAGTCTGAACCAAATGTCCTTCGTGTTCGATCTCAAGCATAGTCTATATATGATACCAATGGAACAGTAATATGCACATATATGTATACTGCCATCATCATTAAATCCATATTAATTTCCCTCTATCAAACAATACCAGCAAATAAGTACATAGGCTTTGTACAACACATTTTCTTCGTTCTTTAAAGATAGATTTAGCCGTGTCATCCATTAGCGGTCATGGCCAAGTCTAAGCTCCAAATCGATTTCATGGTCAGAAACCTTCCTTTTCCCTCCATTATCTTTTATATTGGCAGGCCCAGTTTGTAAGCTTAGACATGTACCCCAAAGCTCATCATTCATGCTCAAAGATTGAGATCTTGGCACAAGAAAATCATGATTACCATGTTTGTAACTATATGGCAGTCTAGGGAAAGATCCTGGTTGCTGAAAGTACATTCCAGAATTCCTTTGAGCCTCCAAAACCGGATAGTAGTTTGTGGGCTCACTTGAATTTGGTATCATATATCTAGAATCCTTGATTTCCTCATTGGCTTTGCTTGAAACTGATGAAGAACTTACAAGTTGCTTTCCTTTGGTTCGACTAGCGCGATCTTTGCGGTGTATGTTCATGTGTCCACCTAAGGCCTGCGCGTTGGTGAAGCCTCTCTTGCAAAAAGAACATTCATATGAGCGTTTAGCAGTAATTGTTGTATTGCTGGAGGAGTCTTCTTTGACTTGTTCTTGACGATCATAATTTTCTTCACTTGAAGTCTCTGAGTTTCCTTGTTTAGCCGACTCCATATATATATATATATAACAAGAAATTGAAAACCTTGTGGCTAGTAAATATTTGTCCAAAGAGTTCTTGCTTGGGATCAGTATACAAGATAAAGGCTGGAGGGAAAAAAAAAAAAAAGGCTTTTAGGGGAACTGATTTAGGTCAGAGAGAAGGAGAGGAAGGTTGCTTGTGAAATAGTGATAACACTAAGTCATTGGCATTTCCACTGGGACTTCACTGTATTTGTATTTAAGGGAGACTCAATTTTGTCGTTTGCTTTAGGACTTTTCTTGTGGTCGGCTTTTGTGATGGATCCATTTATCTAGTAAATTTTATTACCATCTTATCTTTTTTTTATCTACTGGTTATGGGTTTTTTTTTTTTTTTTTTTTTTTTTTTTTTTTTTTTTTTTTGACTGAGGTTTGGATATAATTTCTGCACATGTAGCTTTCATGAATCCAGGATTTATTTTTTTAAAATAACGCGGCTTTTATTTAATACTCTTATCATTATTTACAACTTTAATTAATATTATAAGCTAATTATAGTAAGCGCACAAGAAAATTAGTTCCACATGGTTTGATTTCCAATTTTGTTGAAAATGTACTCTTTTCATTCAAAGGTACGAAATGTTCCAATACATGACGATATCATTCACAATTTTTGGAAGCAATTTTTTTTTTCTTCTTTTTTACAACCATATAGCTAGCTACTAGCAGAAGCATTAGTTCCATTAATTGACTTCAATTTCCATAGAAGCGTAACCTGAAATTTAAGATAGGAAGTTCAAATTGAATAATATGTATACTTTTTCAAGGATGTAAAACAAGTAATTTTTTTTATAAAATAGACTTTAAATTGAAGGTATAGTTAAAAAAAAAAAAAAAACACCCAAAAGTTTAGGACTACAATGTAATTTTTTTTTAAGTTTGGGGATGCCATGCCCTCACCCACCCTTCGACGTAATTTCCCAATTTTCGACAAAAAAAAAAAAAGGCTCTTTGCACTTGAAGGTATGAAATGAACCTCCCAGTATATGACACCATTAGCATATATATATATATATAGAGGACGCCCTTGTTTCCATTTTTGAGACATGCATAGGTTCAAGTATCAATATTACACAGGAATGCCATTATTAATCTCACAACCAAAAGTGGAAGTGTAGATGATAATGCCAATTAATATTATAACCGGTACAATTAAATCCAGCCATTGAGAAAGAAAACTTATGAAACCGCGTGGAATTATCCTGGAAAAAAAAAAACAAAAAACAAATCTTCTTAGGGGCTGTACGGGCTGAAAGTAAGAGTTGCTCGAAATGGTGATGGTTATGCTATAATATACTCCCTTACAGAAGAATATAACTTACAAATCACCGTCTTTTTACTGTACCTACATCAATTTAATTTTTTTGTGGCTCTCTCCTTTTCATTGAATCAATTATATAATTCCTTTTCCCTTCATTTCCTAATATATATATATGGCGTAGATAACTTGAGGACTGCTAGATCAGGGGAAAAAAGATATATGGCTCGAAATTTTATTGATCTCTTAGCTAGCTCAAAGCTCACTACTCTATGCACGCATGCCTCAGTCTTGTTCATTTTATAAATTAATTTTCTAGTTTCAGCAACACAAATTCATTATATATTAATTACTGCTCTGAGGACCCAAACGAAAAGCAAAGAAGGCGATAGCAGCTCGATAAGAATGATGAGTTGATGTAACTTAATACCCAACTTTTATTGAAAAATTAATCTCGAACATACCATGTGTCCTTCTAAGTGCATGCGTACTTTGTTTAGCTGTTTTTGCCCCTTCTTTTTAAGTAGCTGGTTTCAGTCTTTTTGGATAGAGCGACGGCAAAAATAACGCGTTGACAGTACTTAAGCTAGCTTTGACCATGTCCTTTTGTGGAGTACAAAGAAATTTTGATCTTGCCCTAGAAATGATAAACATTTTTTGACAAATGGAAGAAGTTCATCAACGGCAACAACATGAGTGCTGTACTGTAATATTTCTTTTGGTGCCACTTCATTTACAATCAAGGGTTTGAAAACTTTTTGACCCAAAAAAAAAAAAAAAAAAAAAAAACGACCTCCTAGTGTGTTATATATATATACACACACAATATTTTATCTCTAGCTATATATAATTGATCTTTTTAAGTAAAATTTGTTATACCTTTATAAATGTCGATGCTTCTAACAAGTTGGATTTGACAAACTAAACCAAATTGGACGATATATTTAAGCCAAAGAGAATTGATCAAAATGCTTTCCGGTGAATTATTGGTTGGTTCTGGTCAAAACGAGCCTGATTTAACAATAATCTCATCATAAATTTTCAAATTGATTTAATCTTGAACTCAACTCCAAATAAGTTTCCAATTTAATTTCTTCTAATGACATGAAATAATATATATTCCCCTATAACATATTTCCACCATGATTTCCAATAGTACTGCGTATCCTTTCACTTTTTTTTTTTTTTTAGATCGTATGATCTTGGAAAGGGATACCCATTTTTTTCCTCTTGTTTTTTAATGGCTTAAATATTTTGAATGTCCATTCATAAACCTCTAGGACGTGCACGTACTCCTTCCTTCTTTCATCTATCGATTGATTACAAGCCCAATAGATTAGTCTTTAAAGGAATTGTATTTTCTTTGTGACCAAGGGGAGGAATGGACAAAACTTCGCTGTCATAGCCATCAGCATGAATTGCCACATAAGCACATGACAGCAAGGTTCTGGCTACATGTATAGATGATAAAAAATTCTAAATCATCTAGATGCCTTGTACTACTTGTATATTATGAGATTCTCATTTTGCACCATTTACACAGTCACAAGTGAAGCTTTCAAACATATTGACATATTTACATTTTTGCTTTTAATATGGTCCAATTTTGTTAACTTATTCAGTGTTGACATGTTATTGGAGTCGATCTACTAATCCAGATTTTGAAGGTCAATTTGATAATTTCTCAATGATTTATGTATTTATTTATTTATTATTAATTTTCTTTTTAGGGCTGAAGTAATATCAATACACAAATATTATTCGTAAGACATGAGATTTGGACCGAAAACTTTAAGCCTGAGTTTGAGGGTTTTTTTTTTTTTTTAACTAAATACTTTTATTGCTAAGAAGAATCAGTAGCCAAACAATGCATTAAGAACTACAGAGGGACACAACCCCATTCCACTAGATCAAGTAAAGAATAAGATGACTTAGCTAATTTATGAGTTAAGTAATTCGTTGATCTTTTAACAAAGCAAAAAATCGCACTAGGAAAGCACTCCTTAAGGGAAACACAATCATCAATTAATAAACCAAAATTTGATCTATCTTCACTCTACCCATTAATGGCATCAATAACCACCTGTGCATCTGCTTCAAAAATCACATTTGGAAACCAACTGTTCTTCAGCCAGCTTAGGGCCTCCCTCACCCCCAAAGCTTCGACTATTTTTGGCTCCACTACTCCGTTAAACTTGCGCACCCTTGCTGCCACCATTCACCCCTCAGCATCCCTAGCCATACAATTGACGCTGATCCTATTTCCTTCTTCGAATGGAGCAGCATCAGTATTTTCCTTAACCCAACCAGCCCCTGGTTGATTTCACTTAGAGCTGTGCATGGTCTACCCTACCAGCTTCCTCCTCTGTAACACCTTCTTTTCTTGGGCACTGCCCCAATCTTCAAGGGCTTCCTTACTCAAATGGATTATAGTCTCTGTTGGCCTTCGCATCCCCTTCCATACTACTTCATTGCGATTCCTCTAAATTGCCTAACACAACATGGCCACTTGCTCACATTGTTGTGTATTACAGCTACCAAAAACCATAAAAGCCAATTAATGAAAGAAAGGGGCTGACTTCCATTAATACCAAAACAAGTTTGCTGCTAGATGTTCCTAGTCTCTTGGCAGTCAACCAAGCCGTGAGTTACTTTTTCAAACTCAACCCCACACATTGGATAATATGGATCCATATCTAATCTTCTTTCATGCAGCTTCTCTTTAGTTGGTAAGCACCTCTCAGCTGCTCGTCAGATCTTGTTTCTGGCTTTAAAGGGAATTTTTAAGGACCATATTTTCCTCTACATCGGGTTCCCATCTTGTGGCTGCATTTGGCCTCCTAAGCTTGTTTGCATCTGGTATGCGCTCTTCACTGAGTATATACCTTTTTGTCCACTTAGCCAGTACCACCGATCCTCACTTCCCCTTAAGTTGAGAAGGATGGATAGGACCTCCTTTCTGTTCCACTTATTAAGGTGCATCCCCAATTTTGTTTCATCCTAACTCCTACCTTTAGTGCTCATTAATTCCCCAATCAGCATGTCCTCCTACCCCTCTGTCAGCTGTGATGATATACAAAGGCTTCCCCCATCAACCATTGGTCTTTCTAGACCCTAATCGTCCTTTTGTCTTCCACCCTCCATCTGCCTCCTCTCTTTAATAGATCTTAGGAGGCCCATACACTCCTATAAATGAAGTTTGGATTGTTTCCCACCTTTGCCTTCAAGAAGGAGCTTCTAGGAAAATACGTAGCCTTATATATTCTAGCCACCAGTGAATTAGATTCACTCATCAACTTCCACCCCTGTTTACCTAGCATGGCCACATTGAACTTATGCACTCTTCTAAACCCCAAACCCCCTGCCTCATTTCTAGTACACAATTTGTCCTAACTCTTCTAGTGTATACATCTGTTTAATGGCCCTTTTAAACCCCATCAGAATGAGTTCATCATTTTCTCTAAGTTCGCACATAATTCAAGTAAGAGAAAAAACACACATCACATAATTCGATACTGCTTGAGCTACGATCTTCAGCAGTACTTCCTTACCCCCAAGTGATAGGAGTTTCACAGCCTTGTATCCTTCTACTGGCTTTCTCCTTCATATAGCTAAATATCTCCTTCTTCTTCCTCCTAATCAATACTGGTACCCTAGGTACTATTCCCCATCAGTTTACTCCACAACCTCAACAGTGGTATTTGGACTGAATCTCATTGATGATTTTTGAATGTTAATTTTTTGCTTCGAAGCCATTTCATACTCCCTTAGAATTTGTAACACTATCCTCGCTTCTCCTTATGATGCTTTGAAGAAGAAATAGCTATCATCTACAAAGAAGAGATATGAGACAATAAGGGCTCCTCTAGCCACTTTACATATATGGATTACCCTATCTCTCTTTTTACTTGATTAGTGAGGATAAGCCTTCAGCACACGATATGAAATTTTATGAGGACAACAGGTTCCGTTGTCTCAATCCTTGACTCAGCATGATAGGTTCTATAATCTCTTATCCATAGACCACATTATACCTCACTGACCTCATTTTTAGCATGACCAGATTTACCCACTTTCTAGAGAAGCCCATCTTAAGCATGATAGCCTCTAGGAATAACCACTCTACATGGTCATATGCCTTACTCATGTCCAGTTTTAGGGTTGCAAGCCCTTCTTTCCCTTGTCTCTTCCTCTTCAGATAATGGTTAACCTCAAAGGCAATCATAACATTATCTGTTATTAGCCTTTAAAGAACCAAAGCACTTTGTGTTTTTGATATCAGCCCTAACATCACCTTTTTCATCCTATTAGCTAGCATCTTGGACACTATCTTATATAGGAAATTACATAGAGAGATAGGTCTCAAGTCTCTCATGTACTCTGGAACTTTCTTCTTCGGAATAAGGACTATAGATATCTCATTTAGTCATTCTGGAAATCTACATCCCTTAACCATTTATAATCATGTTGTAGTCACGTCTTCCCCCATAATGTGTCAGTAGTGTTGATAAAACCTAGGATTCATTCCATCCACTCTTGGGGATTTATCTAGATGCATGCTGAATACTGCTTCCTTTATTTTCTGCTTCATAAACTCGCAAATTAAGTTAAAATTCTAACTCTCTGTTACCCATTGCTCAATCCACTGCGTTATAACCTCAGCTGAGTTCCCCATAAAACTAAACAGTGAGGTGAAATAAGCCTTCACTACATCATGTAGCCCATTCCCCCAGTTTTTCCACACTCTCATATCATCCTTAAGCTGTTTTATTCTATTTTTCTTTTCCTATTTGCTACCTTAGCATCGAAGTATTTTGAGTTAGAGTCATATTCCTATAACCAGAGCAGTTTAGCCTATTGCTTCCAAAAAACCTCATTCTAATTCAGTACCTCTAAGTACCTTTCTCGAACTGCCTTGAATTCCTCAAGCATGTTCAAATCCCTCCCCCATTTCAGTAGCCTCATTCTCCTTTTGTAGTCCTTAATTCTTCTTTTAAAATTACCTGTAATCGTCTCTCCCCACTTTTGTAGCCTTCCCCCACATATTGTAATTTTCTTTATAATCTCATTTCCTTTGTTCATTTGCCAACATTCCCCCACCAGCTCACCACACCCCTTTTCACTTACCCAAGCATTCTCAAACCTAAACCTTCTAACCCTTTTTTTAACCCTTCTTATACTAATGTCTAGAAAAATAGGAGAATGGTCAGATGAGGACATTACCATGTTTTGGACCGTATAGTCAGGGAACATTGCAACCTATTTGTAGTCGTAACTCGTCGTCCCCATATCCATAAATCCACATTCACCAACGACCTCTTTGAACCCCATCACACACCAGCTCGAATGAGGATGTCTCCCTTTGGTGTCTCTCTAGCATGTACGAAGTAGGTTTCAAAATTCTCTTCTTTGGTGTCTCTCTAGCATTTCATAATAACTAGCCAGTCTTTAAGTCCCCATTCCCTCCTTTTGTACCACCACATCAATGTGATTATGGTTAAAATCCAACAAGCTAATTTCATCCTTTTCTTTTCATAACAAAGCCAGTCCCTCTTCCCTCCTAATACATTCCACAACAAAGCTCCTCTCATACCCCAGCTTCCTCTGAATTAGGTTTATTTTTGATTTATTATTAAGTGTTTCACTAAAAAAACATAAATACGGGCTTCTTCTCGTGGACTAGATCCACTAACACTTGAACTGATCGTGGGTTGCCCAACCCATGACAGTTCCAAAACAAAGTGCTCATTGAGTTGGGTGGGCCTAGTCTACAGGTTTCACCAATGGCTTGTTTTATCTATCAGGTTGGTTTGACAAATGTGGCCTATTGGGCCTTCCTAAGTTAATTCCCCTCCTCCTTCCTTCTCAGTCCACCTCCTTTTCACTTTCACTTTAATAACCCCCTCCTTATCAGTAGCTAAATCTCCCTCCATACATTCCTCTAAATCAACCCTGCTTTCTTTTTCCCCTCTCTCATACAGAGGTTCCCTATTAACAACATTTATCTCCTTGCCATTTTCATTTCCTTCATTCACTCTAAAAATCCCTCCCATTAACGTCTGCTTTGTGTGCAATCTCAATAATTTCACCAGCTTGATTGGATCATTGTTGTCTAACATCATTTGGTCACCGATAGCCTCTTCCCTGGTCATCTTCGATGGCCCTTGCCTAAGCCATTTTCACTAACATTCATCTTTTATTGCCTGTCAAGAGCCCTTATCCATGTGCCATATGGTTTTCCAACTTCTGCTTATAGATTTGAAAATAATAACTTATAGAATTTCTCTCCATGCCCAATTCTCCCACATATGAAGCAAAATGTTAGCAATCTCTCATATTTGAAATTTAGCCATACCCATTCTCCCTCCATTCTCTTGATTTTCATCCTTATTTTTAATGGTTCCACTGACACCCTCACCCATAAAAAAGCCCTCCATATGCCTCCATAATTTTCCATAACTGACTCCACATAGGTTCTAATGTAGTTCTCAATATCTTGGCATACTTTCTGACATAAAACCAATGGGGACATCATACACTTGGATCCAGAATTGTGCTTTATATAGCCTTATCTGGCTTAGTCTCTCCCTTATCTCTAACCTTTTTCACAGTAGAAGATATTTATCGAAAGTCAATGGGCCACCATCCATCACTCGCTTGAGATTTAGCTCATGGATAAAGTAGAACAGAAAACATCCTAGGGTGGTTTCCTTAATGTATACTCCCTTAACCGATTGCCATAGGGTAGTTAGCGTGTTTTTCATCGCTGGGTGTTGATAATCCTATCTTTAAGAAACTTTCCTACCATACATAGCCTTACATCCATATAGGAACTCTATTTTCCCTCCTCGACATACTCTAGTCCTTCCTCTTCTTCTTCTACTATGAAAATGTTGGCATACATCTCTTTTATGTGTCTTGAAGTGGTTCCTTCCATCCTACTCACTGGTTTGGTACAGCACACACAAGTAATTGAGAAAGACTTGATCGAGGATAAGACAAAGCAAACTTGTCAGAGGACAAGAGTTATTAACTAGAGTTCGAGGGTACTTATTATTTTTAGAAGGTTGCCAAAAAGTCCACAAAGTCCAAACTTGAATGACAAACCTGAAAAATTAGAGTTTTCCATTTTTATCGATCCACTGCCTTATAACATAATATTATTTAACTTATGGTGTTGGATAAATGTACAATGGTGATAAGAGAAGTTGTTATTAGATGAGCACTGTAGAAAGACAACTTGAATCTCTTAATTGAAATCTCAACCTAAAATATAACACTATAAGAAAATAAGGTAATAATGGTGGATTATTCCATCGCTATATCTAATCGAGTGATGGATAAAAATCCATAGTAAAAACACGTATTGCTAACCATTATAGTAGATTGAAAAGTGTCCGTCACTACGATAACGACGAATTATATATAGCTAAATAGTTTAAGTTTATGCTAATTTCATATTGAAATTGTTGTATTTTCATCAAATAATATGTCACAATGCTTGTCACAAACTCGTTTTTAAATTGTCGCTAAATAATGATCAATAAACATTTGGTTTGGAAAGCAACATCGGTGTAACCATTTACAATTAGATCTTCCCGACCACTCGTACACTAAGAAATATCCTTTAGTCCTTCTCAAGTACTTAAGGATGTTTTTTACAACGGTCTAATGATTTTCACCTGGATCCTATTGGAATTCGCTTGTCATACGTAGTGCGTGTGCGAGATCCGAGTCTAGTACATAGCATGGCATACATGATAGATCTTATAGCCGATACATAAGGAATCTTACTCATATATTCCCTTTGTTCTCTTGTAGAAGGATAATCCTTCTTACTTAGAATCACGCCTTGACTCATAGGAAGGAAACCTTTCTTGGAGTCAACCATACCGAAACATTTTAGTACTTTGTTCATGTACTTTTCTTGACTTAGTCCTAAGAGCCGTTGTGATCTATCTCTATAGATCTTTATACCTAGTATAGTTTTGGCTTTGCCTAAGTCTTTCATTGAAAAACACTTCCCTAACCATTGCTTAACTCTTAACAATGTTGGGATATCGTTTCCAATGAGCAAGATGTCATCCATATATAAGACCGGAAAAACTATTATGCTCCCACTAACTTTCTTGTACACACAAGGCTCATCTTCGTTTTTGATAAAACCAAACTCTTTGATCGGTTCATCAAAGCGAAGATTCCAACTTTGGGATGCTTCGCTTCAATCCATAAATGGACCTTTGAAGCTTGCATACCTTTTAGGATTCTTAGGATCGACAAAACCCTTAGGTTATGTCATGTACACATCCTCGAGAAGGTTTCCATTAAGAAAAGCCGTTTTGACATCCATTTGTCATATTTCATAGTCATAATATGCGGCTATGGTAAGTAAGATCCTAATGGATTTAAGCATGACTACTCGGAGAGAAGGTTTCATCATAGTCAATACCATAAGTTTGTCTAAAACCTTTTGCCACCAGATCATCCTTTGAAGGTGTTATCGGCTTTTTGTTTGAAAATCCATTTGTACTCAATGATCTTAGCACCTTCGAGTGGTTCAACCAAAATCCATACTTGGTTATCATATATTGATTGCTTTTCGATTTCCCGGCTCCAAGCCACTTGGTTGAATCTGGACTTTTAATCGCATCTTGGTAGGTAGTGGGCTCGTCTTGATCCACTAGTACAATACTTTGATCGTTAGTTATGAGAAATCCATATCTCTTAGGTTCATGATGAATCCTACTAGACCTTCTTAGTTATTGTGTAATCGATTCGAGTTTCATAACTCCTTGTGAATCCGTTTCGATTTCCATACTATCCTTTATAAGAGTTTGTGGTTCTTGAACTTCTTTAAGTTGTACTTTACTCCCACTATTTCTCTTGAAAATGAATTCCTTTTCAAGGAAAATAGATTTTCGAGCAACAAACACTTTGTTCTCGCTTTGGTTATAAAAGTAATATCCCTTAGTTTCTTTAGGATATCCCACAAACAAGCATTTATCGGTTTTGGATGCTAGCTTATCCGATGTTAACCTTTTAACATGGGATTCATAACCCCAAATCCTAAGAAAAGACATGTTGGGCTTTTTCTCATTCCACATTTCATATGGTGTCTTCTCAACTCGCTTTAGTTAGAGTACTCGTTTAGTAGGAATGCAACGGTTTCAAGGGCGTAACCCCGAAGGAGATTAGAAGATCTATTTGACTCATCATTGATCGAACCATGTCCAATAGAGTTCGATTTCTCCTTTCGTACACATCGTTCCGTTGCGGTGTACCGGGAGGATTGAGTTATGAAACTATTCCACACTCCTTTAGGTAAGAGTCAAACTCTTGGCTTAAATATTCACCACCTCAATCGGATCGAATAGCTTTTATTCTTTTTCCAAGTTGGTTCCGTACTTCATTCTTATACTCTTTGAACTTTTCGAAGTCTCGGATTTATGCCTCATTAGATAGACATAGCCATAGCCATATCTATCGAAGTCATCCGTGAATGTAATGAAGTAGCTATAACCACCTCTAGCAGATGTACTTAGTGGTCCACATACATCGGTATGTATTAGGCCTAATAAGTCACTTGCCTTTTCACTCAATTTGTTAAAGGGGCTTTTAGTCATTTTTCCATGTAAGCAAGATTCGCATGTTTCATAAGATTCAAAATTGAATGAGCCAAGAATTCCATCTTTATGGAGTCTCGAGATGCATTTCTCATTCACATGTCCTAAACGAAAATGCTAGAAGTAGGTTGGGTTTAATTCATTTGATTTAACCCGCTTGTTATTAATGTTATAAATGGGCTTGTGGTTTTCTAAGTCTAAAATGTAAAGACCATTACTAAGCAAAGCATTGCCATAGAAAATACTCTCATTATGAATAGAAATAACATTATTCTTAATAATGAAATAAAATCCATCAATATCTAAACAAGAAACTCGAAATAATATTCCTACTCATAGCAGGAACAAAATAATAATTTTGTAAATGAATTACAAGTCCACTAGCTAAAGTCAAATGATAATCCCCTATTTCTAGGACATCAACTTTTGCTCTATTCCCAACTCTTAGGTCGACTTCACCTTTAGCCAAAACCCGCCTATTTCTTAGTCCCCGCACATTAGAACAAATGTGAGAACCATATCCGATATCTAATACCCATGATACAAAAATAAAAAGATTGACTTCTATAATAAAGATACTCGAAGTGGAAGCCCCGCCTCCATTTTTCTTCAAATCTTCCTAGTAACCGGACAATTTCTCTTCCAATGCCCAAGCATTGTTGAAACAAAAACACATGCCCTCCTTCGGTGGCTTAGGCTTAGGTGCCTTGACCTCCTTGCCTTTGGATATAGGTCCAACCTTACCCTCGGGCTTGGCCTTGCCCTTTACCTTTCCACCCTTACCCTTTTGAACCAAGCAAGACGAGATTGGTTTTCTTTTATGTTCCGCTCAACATTTTTAAGCATCCCATGTAACTCGAAACCGATTTGTCCATCCCATGCATGTTATAGTTCATGAAAAACTGATAATAACTTTCCGGCAAAGATGCTAAGATGAGGTCGGTTGCTAATTCCTTACGAATGGGTGCATCAACCTTCTCAAGAGTATCAATATACCCTTTCATCCCGAGCACATGGGCACTCACCGAAGTACTCGGTGCCATTTTGCAAGAAGTTAGTGCCTTGGTTGTCACAAACCTTTCATGACGAGCTTGCTCTTGGAACATTTCCTTGAGGTGAGTCATGATCACAAAAGCTTTCATATCCACGAATTGTTTTTGCAATTCCGGACTCATGGTAGCCGACATGAGGCAAATCACATCATTGGAGTCATTCTTTTTCTTTTCAAATGCCTCCTTTTGAGAAGTAGTGGCGTTTCTAGCCGGTTCATTGGGTAACGCTTGGTCTAGGACTTCAAGCTTCCTCTCTTACTTCGAGATCTATTCTCAAGTTTCGAGACCAATCAAGGAAGTTAGTCCCATTGAGTTTGTCCTTCTCAAGGATTGATCGTAATGAAAATGGTTGTGAGTTGTTCGATGCCATTTCAATCTACATAATATATGCAAGATTAGTATGAGGTCTTTATTTATAATCCCATAATTTGAATTAATATCCCTTTAAATAATTCGTGTTAGTATTTTTGATTACGGGCCAAGATCCTTATTTCAACTTGTCTTAGTCAAGCCGAGCTTGTACACCTAAGACTTAGTTATTTCGATAGGAACCCTTTCCAATTCTATCTAATATAATTCTTGGATCGAATGGAATCAACATCTTATGTTGGGAACTGTTCCATTTTATTGCCTAGTGGTCGGGACAATCCCACTACCCATGTTAAGTCAATCCTACATTTGAGTGTTAGGCATAACATTTATCCTAACTCTTGCCTTACAAAGATAATCCAACATGCCTAGCTATGGCATAGCCCACGTTTAGATGATCGATGCCTTGATAAGTTTCGAATTAGGAAGGCAATTTTATGACTTAATATTGTAGGGATTCATTTTATTACGTCTTACATGGCATATAAAAATTTCCATTCATTCACATATGCATAGTATATATATGGTGCATAAAATTTAAACGTGACATGTCATGGGCAAAATACCTAACTCTAAGAAAAGCTACATCTAATGGGCTTCCTTCGAGTTGGGTGGGCACACCTCTATTGGGCTTCGTCTCTTGTCTTAATTACAAAGTCTTCGATATGATATTAAATACATCTATTCTAATAAAATAAAATTTAAAATTTTACATAAAAAAATAGACGACATGCGAGCCGTATTTAATTACAACCCATAATAAAAATAGGCCCATGACATGCACTATGCATAACCATTCATGAAAAATACACCAAAAAGATTAAAATCAAAAACATATACTAGCAAATAATCTGGATTTT